ATCGCGCATGATCTAAGCAGAAACCCAGACCTTGGCTCGGGCGAACTTTGTCCACCCATAAATGGCCAAGAGCGGGATGCTGGACACCCCGGTCACGAAGCTGCCTGCCACACCGTAGGCCAACCAGGGAGTGCGGTCGTAGGGGTTGTTGACTCCAATGAAGTCCGCCGCTGGTGCACCAGCCAACCAGTAGATCCAGCGGCCGACCGAGAACATGGCCTGGTAGATGGAGGGCAGGTGCTTCACAAGGCTGCTGGGAACCCAAGCATCCAGGACCCAGCTGCTGTGCGCGCTTGCTGCGACGCCATTGACCACCATGTTGCCGGAGAGCGTGTAAGGGTTGAAGAGGCCTTGCTTCGGCACCATGCGGCTGGAGAGCACCTTTGCGATCCCCTCGACAGTCCACACGTAGGAGCCCTCAAGGATGGCTGCGGAGTAGGCAGCCTCGGCGTCCTCGAAGCTGCAGGGCTTCAGCATAGGACACCTGTGAATGAAGTGGTCCGGTGACAGCTCGAGCGCAAAGGACGAGTTGGACGCTGTCTGCATGTGCAGCTGGATCATGGGGGACATGATGCTTGGATCCGCATGGCCAAAGAAGTACACATCGTCAAAGAAGAACTTGCCTTGGCCGTCAGTGGCCAGCACCCTGTCCCCAACCTGCAGGTCTTTCATGCGGACTGTGCCCTGAAGCGTCTGCACCTCAGCATCCGCCGGGAAGCACCCACTGGGGCAGCCGCCATTTCTTCCCAGAATCTCCTCAAACTTTTCTTCCTGAAACCAATGCTGCTTGCAGTCGCAGATTCCGCCCTCGACGCTGACGCCCGGCGCACCAAAGCCGAACTCGATGGTGCCACCAATGACCTCGCCCTGCATGTTCTGTATCACATTGCCGCCGACGCAGAGGATGAAGCAGCCACCCGCACCCAAGTACGTGGACTGGCCCAGGATATCCCCATAGCTCCTGAACCATCCATGACCGATGGTGATTGGAAGCTCGAGATCGGGCATAGGTCCGTTGATGTCAACTCCAAGTTCCCAGCCCATACAGCTCTCACTCACCCCTCCCCTCCTAAAGACGCACGTGTCGCCGATGCTTTCATGGAAGCCATAGGTGGACAAGCTGACGCTGGAGGACATGGTGACCACCTCTCCGGCAAACGCTTCAACTGCCCAGTTGTAGGCTTTCTTGCTGCAGCATGCCTTCGCCTCTTCGGTGAGGCGTCGGCGGCTGCGACGACGACGCCGCCCGTGGTTATCATGCTTGCGGGCCACTGACGTCTCCAGCAGCGAGACTGCGCTGAACGTCCTCTGCTTCTTGGGCTCGAAGAGGTGCGCGGCAGAAGAGTGGTTGCCCCCATGATTCGCGAGGACCACGTGGGATGCTCTATGAAATAGGGATGCAGCCAGGGAGCGCTTGGTGGCGGCCAGCGTGTCGATTGACTTGTTGGTGGGCTTGGGCAGAGCCTTCTCCATCAAGGGGCAGGCTTCCGCGAAGAAGTTGGAGATCTTCGTGTAGTTGGGCCACTGCATCGCCACCATCCTCTCCAAGAGCTGCTGGCACTTCTCCTCACCTGTGCCCCAAGGCACATCCTTGCCCTCAGCCTCTTCTGCGAGCTTCTTGTCCTCACAGGCAACGGACAGCAGAAGGCACACGCCCTCCGTGCCAAGGGCAGAGGCACGTGACTTTTGAAGGTCCATGACGAAGCTGCTTCTGATCCCTACCATCACTACCTACTCGCAAGTCCAACAGATTCTAGAGGCATCCCGAATGCGAAAGCCGCAAGAGCGGCGAGCGCGCTGCATCCTCTACTAGATTCTACTAGCATCATCCTAAAAGGCATGACATGGCAGGACCCTCTCTCCCGGGGAGCAATCCTCGAGGCAGGCTCGCATGAAGGCTTCATCGAAGTGCTTCTCCTTCGTGATGGCTGGCCACAGATGCGGAAGGCCCGAGAACTCGTAGTGAGCGTTCGTGATGTCTTCGATGAAGCGCATGCACTCCGGCTCCTCATCGATGGGAAGCACGAGGTCCACGAAGACGGCGCAGAAATCCTCCGAGGTCTTGAAGGCGCCCTCGCCCAACAGCCGCAGCTGCACGTCCAAGCCATAAGTGGCGCGGTCGCACTCGGCAGCCAAGTGGCTTGGATCCACGTCGTCCAGGATGGACCCCTCACCCATCTGACCACCTTTGCACGCTTCGCCCAATGCCTCGATCTGTGCTGCAGCAGGACGCTTCTTCTCCGCATTCTTCTCCAAGAACTGCATGCAGCCACGGAAGAAGACAGCATCGTTGCCGTGTGATTCCTTCAAATTCGTCACCATGGAGTTCACCAACTCCCGCCCCATATCAGAGCAGGACATCGACTTGATCCTTTCGCGCGCAGCCTGCACAAGTGCAGTCCTGTTGTCATGCATCTTCATTGCCGATGTGGAAGAGAACAGCAGTAGCAGCGCGGTCCAAGGGTACGCAGCCATGGTTGCTGTTAAAGGAAGGATGGGCAACCGTCAGGGGCCAGCAAATGCTTTTGACACAGCGCACAGGGCAGTCTCGCAACTGTGCTGGGGCTTTCTAGACTGCAGCCCGTGGTAGGGAGAGAGCGACAGAGAGAGAGAGAGAGCAACGGCATATTCATGCAAGATATCTTACCGGCCTCCCTGCGCGCAAACGCGCATGGAGCCCCACAGAAGCCACGAAGCCTCCAAAAAGATAGATTGTTCAGGCAGGGCTACTGTGGCCAAGGTCGGATCTCAGCGCTACCAGATGTTCCGCAAACTTTGCAAACCAATTCAAGCAAACAACTTTGCAAGCCCTGAGACACCAAAGCTTTTCTATCTTGACAGGTTACATCCGGCCTTCAAAATCCGCTTGTGGGCATCCTGGTCAGCCTGCGCACAGACGCATGCACGTGCCATCGCATAGACTGCACAAAGGAAAGCGGTGTTGCAACGGAAAATTCTTGAGTTCCAGGTCTGCGGACTG